ACAGCACAGATGTGGGAGACACAGGTGTTGAGGGCCTTCAGGTGTCCTTCTCTTGAGGTGATGCTCAAGACAGTCTTAAGAATCAGGACATAAGACAAGATAATGCATAGGGAATCAATCCCAAAGGTAGTGAGGACAACAAAGAGCCCAGCTCTATTATTGACTGTAGTATCTGCACAGGGGAGCCGGATTAAGTTGGGGTGCAGGCAGTAGGGGTGAGCAAGTAGGTTGGATTTGGACTTGCAGAAAGGAAGGCTTCTTAAAAGAAAGAGCAACGGAGTCATTAGGACAGCACTCCTCACAGCTATCCCCAAGCCTATTCTGGCAATCCTGCTGTTTGTCAGGATGGTGGCATACTGCAGAGGGTTGTAGATGGCAATGAAGCGGTCAAGGGCCATGGCCCAGAGAACCCCAGAGTCCATGAGGGAGAAGCAATGGATGAAGAACATCTGGCTGAGGCAAGCGTCAAGCCCAATCTCCCGGGCATCAAAGAGGAAGACACCCAGCACCGTGGGCAGAGTGGAGAGGGACACCCCCAGCTCACTCACAGCCAGCATGGAAAGGAAGAGGTACATGGGCTTGTGTAAGCTGTGGTCCTTCACAATCGCAAGGAGAACAACACTGTTTCCCAAGACGGCAATAGCATAGAGGAAGCAGAAAGGGATGGAGATCCAGATGTTTCTTGCCTCCAGTCCTCGGATGCTGGTCAGGAAGAATGTGGGAGAGGTGGCGCTCTGGTTACTGAGTGGGACCATGAGCGTCTTTTTCCCCCTCCAGCACCTGCAAGTACATGAAAACATCCATGAACATGGCGTCTGTGTTCTCTGATTGTTTGGTCCTGCCTAGGAGCCAATGCAAGGGAAGATAGCCTGCTGCGATTATCGGTAGCTAATCTTCGTTTCAGGATCAGAAGTCTGATGAAATCAGGAAATCAGAAGGTCAGATTTGTGGAAGAGAGATGCTTTCAAAGCAAACGTCCCACCTGATTATTTCTCAGTTGCTAGAATTCAGCGCCCCTTCCTGCAAGATGCGATGCCACGAAAGGAGATGCTCCCTTCTCTTCTCTTGCTCTGGATCACTTGGCCTGACCCAGCGTGGGCCAGAGAAAGCAGAGGCCATAATGTGTTCTAGAACACTATGCGCGTTGAGGGCAACTGGGCATGTCCCTCAGCTTACAGGCAGGAGATTGGCTTCCTGAGCCTTTACTTGTCATGCGGCCCTGGCATTCTTGTAGGCAGAAAAGCCTAGTCTAGCCTGGTTCAAAGTGTGCGGCTGCATCTGAGCGTGCCTCAACGGCAAGCTCTGTCCATGGTCCTGAGCAGACGAACCGAAACCCTGCCCTGCTGGATGGGGCCCCTGGCCCATCTAGACCAGCGGTCTGTTCTCCCAGTAACCAGCTGACTGCCCAAGGAATCCGCTCATGTCCTGGCAGAGGCCCTTCAGAGGCAGTCGCCCTGCCATCCGGGCTAAGCGCCATTGACCCCCAAGACATTCCTAGCGGTCGAATCGCCTACCTCCAGAGCCCCACTCCTCCAGGAGGAGAACCCAGGGTGAGAGACAAACTTGTCTGGCACCTAGCGAATGGGTCTCTTCTAAAGGAAAAGGTCCCTCTTCCTCAGACTGATGTCCTCCTTCCCAGGGCACTCTCTGCAACAGCTGAGGAACGGTCACCCTGCGAGTGGACCTCAGCTATCCTCTCTGAGAGCCCTGTCGACCTGCCTCTCTGCCTCTCCTGCCTGTTCCAGTAGAAGTCCCTTGGCCTCATATGATCCAGCGCATTCCCTGGGCTCCAGGACCGCCTTGCACCGAGCATCCATGATCTCTGTCATGTTAGTCGTACTTGTGACACACGGTGCCCTGTGCCAAGCGTATCCTGCACTCTGCTGGCCGTCTACCTTCATTTCTATTTTTGAAGATATGTATTTAAATTTAATCAGTGTCTGGCCTGATTGTTAAAATATATTTTGGAAGATCAATTCTTTTTCTTCTTTTTTTATTTTTAAGTTTTTATTATTTTGGGGGGGGTTTAGACTAAGTATGAATTTTAGCCCCTCCTCCCTCTCAAGGGCTCTCTGACGCCACCCCTGTTGTTGGGGAGCAGGAAGTCCAGTAGCCAGCCCAAAACACTCAGACACCCGACCAAACACGCAGATAAATCTCCCCCCGCCCACCCAAATCTCACACTAAGCTCCTGCTCTTCCGGCCTCCTTGTTATACCCAATTTCCAGCCAAGCTCCCTGCTTGGCCCCTGCTCCTCCTCGGCTCAGAGCAGCCACGCCAAGGGCCAGGCCCAATACTGCCCCTCCCTCAGGACCTTCCTCCCTGGCTTGGATTGGGGGAATGGCAAGGAGCAAACGTTCTCTACCCTCAATGAAAAGGAAATTAAGTCAAAGGCAGTGCTTTTATTCTGGCGTCCTGCTCTTGTCCACAGTCTGGATTCAAAGGACAAGGATCTTTGGCATAAAGGAGTTGGGCATCACAAACGCCGGTGGCTACAAGTGCCCCTGAGAGCAAGACTTGGCCCCTGCCTTTGTGGGACCGCAGTTTCCCCAGTGTGGAGCCATCCTGGGGCGCTGGACGCCACCTGCCAACCAGCACTTTGCTACAGGAAGACGGGGGTCCGCAGGATGACCTGGCCGGTGCCAGTCCTCCATGCTCGCCCCCTGCTCCCTGCCCTCTGCGGAAGAGCAGGCTGTGGAGGAACCATGGCAGGCCCCTGCACTGCCCCCCCTGCCCCATTTGAGCCCTTCCCCAGCACCAGCATGGCAGAGGCGCCAACCTTGATGCAGGCGGGGGAGGAGAAGGGAGGAGACGTGCGTGTTTTGGGAGCTCTGTGGCCGCCCGCAGCAGCCGAAAGAAGACAGGCGTTTCCCTGCAGAGGGAGTGG